AATTAATCAACCGTGTGAGAACGATTTTACCGTCAATGTCATTTGGTACTTGATCATTGCCATTTCATCAACAAATTTCTAGGTTGGGAGTATAAGGATTGTAATCTCACAAGAAAAACAACAAATTACTTTCCAGTGTTAGCTCTGATTTGTCAAATTATGACTTACACTTCATAATAAAAGCGCTGGCAAAAAGCGATTTGGAAAACACTTTTTCTGTAAAACATGCAACTGAAGGAAAATATATCCCAGTAAATATGAAAAAAAAAGTACACGGAAAAAAACGGAAAAATAAAAAGACTCTATGAAAATCTGAGATTCATCGATAGGTACACTTTCATGCTAGTACTGCTGGCAAAATTGTCAATAATTTCCCCGCAACAAAATTCCTTCTGCTGGTGAAACAATTTGAAAAATTCCCGCAAAAAATTCAGTACGTTAAAACAAAAAAAAGCGTTATCCTTATCATTCTTCAACTCCTACAAAAATTCCGAAAAAAATTGAATTCTACCTCGAGTAAATTGAAAATAATCTAACAGGAGGGGATGGGAGTGTTAACAGAAGCGAAGACACTCATGTTAAAATGTTTCATCAAACTAAAATGTAGTTCACTTGGTGATTACCACGACTTGTACTTCACTGCAGATATGCTATTACTTGCTTCCGTTTTCGAAGCTTTTTGTGAAGTTACGAAGCTTACGAGCTGGACTGCGCCTGTTAATTCGCATTCAGTTTTTTTTTGAGGATGCCTTGCCTAGTTTGTGATTCAGACCTGAAACTCTTAACGGATCCTGAACATCTAGACCTTGTGCAGCGAATGATACAAGGAAGTATGTCGCCGAATTACGCGCGCTAATTTTCCAAAGCAAACAAATCTACCTCGACGATTACTCGCCCAGAAAACCATCAAGCTATATCATCAATATTGGCGCAAGCAGTTTGTACGGGCGGATAATGAAACACTGTCTTTTGTCACTAAACGATTTTTCAATAGTTGACAAACTGCTCACCAGCGAAAGCTCAGAGTAGTGTAATATACTAAAAATCCTTTTAATCTTATCCAAAGAGCTTAATGAGTTTTTCCTAGACTACCCTTTCACACCTTCTTATGGAGTACTGGACATCCGTGCAATGAGCAATAGGCAAGTCGACGTGTTGGGAAAAGTGGGGAATTACCACACTGCAAAGGTGTCCAAGCTTCTTCAGACCTTGCATACAAAAGAAGGGGATTTTTGGCTTCATATTACCCTCAAGTTATAGCACGAGCTGGGACTGAAATCATTTCAATGAATAGAAATCTTTCATGTTTTGTTTTAAATTGCTCTCAGCTGTTCGACGATAAAAGCACGAAAGTGTGTTTTCAAAAACGACATTTGTGTAAAGCCGATCAGAAAATTCATCGCTCCAAAACCGGAATTTTTTTCGGTCGTCCTTAAAATTGAGTAAATGTTCCAAACTAAACCAGCTTTGCTACCCCATTCCTCCCTTTTTACGGAAAAAATACTACCATCACCACCACTACCATCTTCCATACCTAACCCTTATTGGTTGCAACAAACTACGGAAATTTAGCTAAATTTGGTATCATCGAAGAATCTGAAAGATATTTCTTCTATTTTGTTTCTTTGAATCATAACTTAGAATCTTCTGCGCTTTGATAAAAATAAAAAAAAATTTGTAAGGTACAAATTGAATTGCTAAATTGAAATTAAACTATCCCCTGCCTTTTAGAAAAAAAATTTTTTTTCTTCTGTTTAGAAGGCGCTCAGAAGTTGAGTGCCAAAAAAGTAAAATGGTCTGCGCAACTAGAATTGGTGCACCAATCTTTCAGGGACACAATATTCACTCGGAGAACAATGAGAGTGTACAACTATAATATGGCTTCGAAAGGTCACACTAACATGACAGTGAAAAAAAATTTGCTTTATAACCACTCGAGTCAAATAATTTCGCCTCTTTGATGGGTCTTTGACCGTTTCTTTGGTCACAAGGCCAGTACAGAAAATGCATTCCTTCAAGACATTTTTATGGATACCGAGTGGGCCAACTTATACAATTAAGCTGATAATAGTTTGCCCGATTTTTAACTTCCGTTATGGTGATTTTTAGTTTTTAGAGGCCTTCAAAAACATCTGTCATTGAACACCATTTTTTGTATCAGAAGCGTCGAAATTAAGATCATCTGAAAACAAAAAAAAATAAAACAAAAAACATCAAATTTTGAATCATATTTTAAAATTTTGAAATTTGTTGAAAACATTAATCGGCGTTTCAGTTTCAAAAGTGTTATCAAACAAATTTATGATAGTTCTCGCCAAGCGATTCTTGTTTCAATTTCACTATCAAAAAAAGAAACCGAATCTAAATTTGAAACTTTTGTATACCGACACAGATAGTTTGGTTGATGCCATGAGAAAAAACTGACGAAGTTCTGATGAGGACCACTGGCTGTTCGATGATGCAAACAAGAAGGTATTTTTTCTAAAGACGAGACTAGTGTGAAGCCGATAAGAAAATTAGTCGCCTGAAAACCGGAATTGTTTTCGGTCGTCTTTAAATTTGAGAAAATGTTCCAAACTTAAGCCAGCGCTGCTACCCCATTCCTCACTTTTTACGAAAAAATACCACCACCACCACCACCTTTACCATCCTCCATACCTAACCCTAATTTGTTGTAACGAACTACAAAAAGTTAGCTTATTATGGTATCATCGAAGAATCTGAAAATTATTTCTTCTATTTTGTCTCTTTAAATAATAACTTAGAGTCTTCTGCACTTTGGTAAAGTGAAAAAACTTTTGTTCGGTATAAATTGAATTGCTAAATTGAAAATAAACTATCCGCTGGCTTTCAGAAAAGAAAACGTTTTTGCTTCTCTTTAGAAGGCGCTCAAAATGTGAGTGCCGAAAGGATAAAATGGACTGCGCAGCGAGAGTTGATGCACCAATCTTTCAGGGACACAATATTCAATTGGAAAACAATGAGAGTGTACAAGTATAATATGGCTTCGAAAGGTCACACTAACATGACAGTGAAAAAAACTTGCATTATCACCATTCGATTCCAACAATTTTGCCTTTTTGACGGAATTTCGACCGTTTCTTTTGGTCACAAGGCCACTACAGAAAATGCATTCTCACAAGACATTTTAATGGATACCGAGTGGGCCAACTTATACAATTAAGCTGATAATAGTTTGCCCGATTTTTAACTTCCGGTCTGGTGATTTTTCGTTTTTAGAGGCCTTCAAACACATCCGTCCTTGAACACCGTTTTTTGCATCAGAAGCGTCGAACTTAAGATCATCTAAAAACAAAAAAAATAAAACAAAAAACATCAAATTTTGAATCATATTTTAAAATTTTGAATTTTGTTGAAAACATTAATCGGCGTTTCAGTTTCAAAAGCGTTATCAAACAAATCTTTGATAGTTCTCGCCAAGCGATTCTTGTTTCAATTTCACTATCAGAAAAAGAAACCGAATCTAAATTTGAAACTTTTTTACACCGACACGGATAGTTTGATTGATGCCATAAGAACTGACGACGTGTACCAAGACTTAGAGAAAATGACAGCTGACTTCAACATCTCAAGCTCTGATGAGGAATACATGCTGTTTGACCATACGAACAAGAAGGTGTTTTTTTAAAGACGAGACTACTGTGAGTCGATCAGAAAATTCATCGCCCTAAAACCGGAATTTTGTTCGGTCGTCCTTAAATATGAGTAAATATTCTTGAGTAAACTTAAGCCAGCCTTGCTTCCCCAGTTCTCCCTTTCTATGGAAAAAATAGTACCACCACAACCACCACTACCATCCTCCATACCTAACCTTAAATTGTTGCACCAAACTACAAAAAACTAGCCAATTTGATATCATTGAAATATATGTAAAACATATCTTCTGTTTTTCCTCTTTTAATCATAACTTAGAGTGCCAAAAGTAAGAAATGGACTGCGCAGCGAGAATTGGTGCACCAAACATTCAGGGACACAATATTCACTCGGAAAACAAAAAGAGTGCACAACTATAACATATCTTCGAAATGTCACACCGACATGACTGTGAAAAAAAACTTGCATTATCACCATTCGATTCAAACGTTTTCGTTTTTTCGACGAGATTTTGACCGTTTTTTAAACCACTACAGAAAGCCACTAGCCAAAAAGCCACTACAGAAAATGCATTCATACAAGACATTTTAATGGATACCGTGTGGGCCAACTTATACAATGAAGCTGATAACAGTTCGCCCGATTTCCAACTTCCGGTCTGGTGATTTTTGATTATTGCAGAGGCCTTTAAAAATCGCCCTCATAAATCATCATTTTTGTATCAGAAGTGTCGAAATCAAGATCACCTAAAAACAAAAAAATAAAGCAAAGAACATCAAATTTTGAATCATATTTTTTACTTGAGTTTTACTGTTCTTCATTTTTATACTCCGGCTTAAACTTGTTTTGGTTTTTAGCAGTACACAAAATTTAATTCATATTGAGCTCAAGCAATTTAATAACAAAAAAGGCTTCGGGCAAACAAACTATGTGACACAAACCAAGTATTAACTCAAACCAATGTGTGAAATTTTTTTAAACTATTAATAGCATGATAAATGTTCGACGAAGAGAAAGAGAGCCAGGAATTGATATTCACATGAAACAAGGACGAGAACGAAAAATTCAGGAAATAGGAAAAATAGTTTTAATTATCGCGGGAACGCTTTAACAAAGTAGAAGGAATTTTTGTACCGTTCCAGTTAATAAAGCTCAGCTTATCAACATCCTAAGAGGAAGTCTTTTACTTTAGGGTGGAAACTTGGGTTTTTTTACAAAATCCTTTAATAGTGGAACCCAAAAAGATAGGGACCCTTTTCGTAGGATTTTGCTTTACATGAGGACCCCTTCCCCTTAGGATACTGCTCAGGCAACAAAACTACCTTCAATCATTTGAAACTATCAAAAAACACACTGAAAAAAAACATACTGTTTTTTGAGTTTAGGAGACCAGTCTTGATCCAAACCATTCCCATTTTATTTTGGTTGACGACGGTTCTCGAGGAGAATTTGGAAGAGAGCAAGAAGTGAGAGGTCTGGTGGAGAAAAAACTGTGTGACAACGGTGTCGGAGATGAGCAAATATTGTCAAAAGAAGGAAAGTTTTTAAAGTTTCACAATTACCTCGAATATACGATTTCTAAGAAAAAGCTACTGATTTAAAATTGCCCAGAAGTTAAATACAGTAAGTAGCTCTTAGGAAAAAAGGAAAAAATACATTGCGAATTCAAAATTTATAAAAATCCAAAAAATATCAGAAATGGGATTATAAAATCTTCTAGTCTTTTCGTAGTATTGTCGTATTTTAATCCTTTGTAATCCATTATGAGTTGATTTTCCAAAAAAAATTTTGTGAGCTTTTTTTTGTTCCGACCATTGAAAATGGGGAGGATCTTACATTCGAGTGTGTTGTACGTTTTTTTCCTTTTGTAATTCCACTCAGTATCAATAACCACAAACAATCATCGGAATGTTTCGAGTGATATATCATATTCACGCCTTTCAAGTCGTAGTTCGAACGACATTAAAAACATTTCGGAAGACTTCTCACAACTTCGAGAAAATTGTTTTGAAATTTTTGATTTTTAGTCTAACTTCGAGCTAATAAGGCGACCGTATATGTTTGTAAATAGCTTATTTAAGTTTAATTTAGTCCTCTGTAACGAAGTTTTTCTCGTGTCTTTTTTTCATGTAAATGTTGTTTTTGTGTTTTTAGCGCAATTTTGAAAATCAAAAATTTGAAAACTTTCCACAAAAAATTTGGAAAAAGTCAAAAAATTTTCTAAATTTTTTTTGCAAATTTTTAATAAGCTTTAATTTTTTTCTTTTCCTCCATCATTTTCCTCCAAAAACTGTTTCTGAATTGACCTATTTTACTATGACTCTCAAATATGCCTAATTTTAGTTTTTTTGGTTCAGATCTTTTTTTCACAACCTGGAAAAAAAGAACGACACCAATTTGAAAAATTTTGGTGCTCTTAAATCAGTTTTCTTAAAATTTTTTTGATAATTTCAACTGCTCGTTCGACATCACATAGCAAAACTGAATAGTGAATTTGAAAATAAAAAAGAAGAATTGCAGTCGATCAACGCAATGAACTCATAATGAGATTAAAAGAAAGAACTGGATAGGTGCACAATTTGGTGATAATAGGTCACTTCAAACCAGAGACAAGTCTTCAAACATCTTAAGTTTTTGTCTGCATAATCAAAAAGAGAAAAAAAGAAAGTCGAACGAAGAGAGCGCGATTACTGCAGAATGCCCTAAAAAGTTACGAGATTTGGCCTCTTTTTGGTATGAAATTTTTCCAGGAACCAATTACAACGCAACGAAAATATTTGAAAAAGAAGCTGAAAGTTTTTGATACATTTTATTAACAATTAACATACTCATTAGTTGGCGGGGGACAAGTTAATTGAATTATTTTTTAATAAATTTTAAAAACATGTTTTTCATTCACTTTTCGAATTAATAAAAAAGGCACAGTAAAATTTACTGGAACTTACAAACTTAAAGATCATTTTGAATTTGCCCAACATATCCGTTTTGTACAATTTTTGAGTTTGAATCATCTTTTTTTTATAACAAATGTCTAAAATTTAGCATCAAAAATTTCGATTATTGTCTTTTTTGCATACTCGTAACAGGCGACAATTCGTAAAATTAGTTTCAGCGAGGGTTACAGACTCATGCAGAGTACTCTTGTTAAACGGGATGTAAGCGAAGCGGAATAATCGTCGGTTATTTGTCAATGGCTTGTTACGAATTTTCGCCTGCTACGAATTGTCGCTTGTTACGAATTGTCACCTTTTAGGAATTCTACCTTGTTTCGAATTGTCGCTCTGTCACATTTTCGCCTAATTTTATCGAATTTAATGTACAAAAAAGTGTAGTTTAGCCAGAGCATTCGGCGACAATATATACAAACTTAGGAGGAGTGCGCGCCAATAGAAAGCAAATTTTTGGTCAAAATTTTCCAAAAAGTGCCTAAAAACAAACTTTGTGGCCTATTTTTTTTTCAACATTGGTCATTCAGAAAAATTGTAGAAAAATTGGCCGTTCAGTCACTTTAAAATATTTTGAATGGCTTTTTTTGTACAGTATGTTTTTTCATACTGATCTATATATCTATTATAACACGTTTTTCCATTATAACTGTTTTCTATCTATGTAAGAACTTGAATGTTAACGGCCAGGTTACAAATTTGTTTTCAATAATAGCACGAGCAGCTGAGAATGATATCAAAACAGGAACAAAAGTCCCGATTGTCTGTGTCGTGGTCGAAGGGGGAGCGGGGACAATCAAAACAGTTTGGAATGCACTCAAGAACAACACTCCTTGCGTTGTGATAAATGGAACTGGACGGGCGGCTGATCTTTTGGCTTTTGCGGTTAAAATGAAAGAAAAGTACCCAAATGACGATAAAAAAGTGGAGAAAAAGGTGCAAAAAAGAGCGAAGGAAGAACTAAACCTGAAAAAAGCTGAATTAGAATACACTGTAAAACATCTGATAGAATGTGTGAAGGATGATGCGAGGGATAAAATCCGTGTTTTTGATTTCGAGATCGACAATTCAGCAGGTAATTTTTTTCAGTTTTTTTTCTCGTTCCGACTTTTGAAGAAAGTGACAGAAGGCTTGTACTCGTTTTTGTGTTTTTTCTATAGATAGTTTCCGGCTTGTTAACTAGCAATTTTGGCGGACTTGTTGAATATCCTTCAAAAAGAAAAGTAGTCAAGCATAAAAATTCTTTTTTTAACTGTGATCGCTTATCTAAAGGTTATGGGAGATCAAATATATCGTCATTATAGTTATTGGTATTTGACGTTTTTTTGTATCAGCCGAAACATAGTGTTGTCCTGAGCTCAAATTTAAAAAAATGTTCTTTTTCCATGTATATTTCTGAAAGTTAAGATGGTTTTTTTACTGCCATTCTTGGATAATTAACGCGACATTTATTTCGTGCTAAAAACGCATAAGCATAGTTTGATCATTACAGAAACCAGCAGAAAAAATATCAACAACTGTGTTCTAGATTATTCATCCGATCCTAAATTGAAAAAAAAAAATTAAAATTAATAACATATATCCTTCATAAATCGAATAAAAAAAGTATTACATTTGATTTTTTTCTATGATCGAATTGCAGACAAAAACAGTGTTAGACAAGCATTTCTCTTTTTTCTGTAAAGTTCAGCAAAAAAAAATCGAAAAAAAACACAACATCCCGCACTGGAAGTGTCCATAAAAGTGAATAAAAAATGAACAAAAGATTATAATCATTTGAAAATAGATTATACATCTTCATTTTTTTTTAAAAAGCAATTAGGTCTATTGCAAATCAATTATATTCAATCTTTTTTATAGATAAAGAAACTGAAACTCATCGTAATTATCGACTTTTTTCAACGAGTTTTTTTTCGCACAATTTAACATTTTTTTCACTTGTCCTTTCTAACTTTTTTTCTGATGGGTTGGTGGTGGCTGGTTGGTTTGATCTTTTGGTGGGTGACGGCGGGGATAAAATGGCAAAGAGGCAAACGTTTTTTTTTGGAGGGGGGAGGGGGGAGGGGGTTGGGCGTGGAATTATTTAGCAGTTTGAGAAACTCTAGTTTCAAAAATCACGTAGGCCGTACAATCTTGATGCAAAATTTCTCTATTACTCATTTAATAAAAGCAAAAACCATTGCAAAACTTTGCCCGACATGAAACAAAAAAAAGGAAAAAATCGATCTGAAGTGATTTTAATTGGCTTATAAAAAATTATTGAATTCCTTAAAAATGTAACCCTGTATTTAACTGTTAGGGAGTTTTTAGTTGAGCTAAAGTTCAGGTTACTGATGCCAGTTTTCGCAGAATGTTATAACTTTCTAGCTCCGCTGTGAGTAAATTGTCAATGATAATACCTAAATAATTAAGCTGTTTTCTTAATGGCTGCAATGTCTGCAATTTCCTTCGTTTGGATTTCTGCGTTTTCCTTTATTTTAGGTTTAGCAAATACGGGAGGTTTGATGATTTACGTAAGGTACCTTTTGGGTACCTTTCTAACTTTAGGGGGGAGGGGGTTGGGCGTGGAATTATTTAGCAGTTTGAGAAACTCTAATTTCAAAAATCACGTAGGCCGTACAATCTTGATGCAAAATTTCTCTATTACTCGTTTAATAAAAGCAAAAACCATTGCAAAACTTTGCCCGACATGAAACAAAAAAAGGAAAAAATCGATCTGAAGTGATTTTAATTGGCTTATAAAAAATTATTGAATTCCTTAAAAATGTAACCCTGTATTTAACTGTTAGGGAGTTTTTAGTTGAGCTAAAGTTCAGGTTACTGATGCCAGTTTTCGCAGAATGTTATAACTTTCTAGCTCCGCTGTGAGTAAATTGTCAATGATAATACCTAAATAATTAAGCTGTTTTCTTAATGGCTGCAATGTCTGCAATTTCCTTCGTTTGGATTTCTGCGTTTTCCTTTATTTTAGGTTTAGCAAATACGGGAGGTTTGATGATTTACGTAAGGTACCTTTTGGGTACCTTTCTAACTTTAGGGGGGAGGGGGTTGGGCGTGGAATTATTTAGCAGTTTGAGAAACTCTAATTTCAAAAATCACGTAGGCCGTACAATCTTGATGCAAAATTTCTCTATTACTCGTTTAATAAAAGCAAAAACCATTGCAAAACTTTGCCCGACGTGAAACAAAAATAAAAAAGGAAAAAATCGATCTGAAGTGATTTTAATTGGCTTATAAATAATTTTAAAATTGTTTAAAAATGGATTATAATCGATTTTTTTCTCCATTTTGATGTCTGAGGGCAAAATGGAAATTTAATTAATTCTCAACGTCTTAGACCACAGAAAATACTATAACTGGTTTCTTTTCACTTTTCTTAGATGCGGGATTGAGTTTCAAAACTCAAAAGAGTTTCAAAATTGGGTTGCTAAAATGCATTCATTTTTCGGCAGTTGGAAGTAAAACTTGGTGAAAAAATGGTTTTTTTTAACTGGTGAAAAATATACAGAAAGAGGCGTACGAACTAAAAACTAAGTCTGTCCAATTTCACCAATCAGAAACTACATATTGTTTTGAATTTAACTTGTCTTTTTTGTATAAAATAACGACATTATTTTTTATACAGGCGACCTTGACAAGGCCATTTTGCAAACTCTGCTAGAATTGGGGAAGTTGACAGTTCGAATACAGCTTGAACTTTCTGTTCTTTGGAATCGAAACGACATTGCGTATCAAATTTTGTCAAAAAATGACAAAGGAGCGTTCAAAGATATTGAAGAGTTTCTCACGAAGTCTTTGGTTGATAATAAGTTGGATTTTATTAAAGTTTTTGTCGAAAAGATCAACCTTAACAGCTATTTAACAAAAAGGAAACTGGAAATACTCTACAACGAAACTTTGAACCATTCGACAAATAAGTTCTTGTCAGAATCCTTGAAGAAAAGAGAAAACAACAAAACTTGTCCTCTCACGACAACTTTAGATGAAATTCGAAGAGCTTTTTTGCTGGCTTATAACATCAAATATAATCCTCAGTTTGCGAATGAAAAAACAGACCAGCCGTCAGATACAGACACATTCAAGCATCCAGAAATTGAGCTTTTTGTTTATTCACTGTTGTTTGTTAGACTCGAAACGAGTGAGTTTTTCTGGAACGCTATCTCGTCCAAAGCGTCTTCGGCTTTGTTTGCCGTTTTGGTTTTGAAAGCAATTTTGAACTATTCTGGCACCCGTTTGGATATGAAATTGCAGCTCAAAATTCAAGCAATGCTCAAAATTTTCGAGGGCAGGGCAACGGGCATCGTGAATTACTGCAATGATATCAGCACGGAAACTTGTCACAAAATTTTGAAAGCAGAGCATCCAACTTGGGGAGAAAAAGCGTGTCTAGACTTAGCTGTTCAAGCTGATTGCAAAGATTTCATTGCACAGAGTGGCTGTCAAACTTTGGTCCGAGAAGTTTGGTTGGGAGAGCTGAGCGATAGAAATGCACCGTGGAAAGTTTCTCTGGCAGCTGCAATTCCTTTGTTAGTCCCTCTACTATTAGAGTTCAAAAATGATGCCTCGAATGAGCGGGACGCAGATACTGAATCAAAACCGCCCAAAACCCCGGACGTGGTATGTATTTAATTTTCCGATAAACTACCCTGGTTGACCTCCATACACCGAAAATACTTATCATACAATTCCATACAACAAACATCATTATCATACAATTCCAGACATCAAGTACATGAAGAAAATGCTTGTCATACAATTTTCATATATATTCGTAGGACAATAGAAAAAAATTAAAACATTTTGACATTTTTTGACATGTCTGACAATTTTTTTATGACAATTCATTTCAGAATACGAAACCATGTGATTTTTTTTTCCTACAAGAATGTCTTTAATTATCAATAAACAGTTGCAGCTGAACCAAAGGATGACCGAAAAATTATGAAAATTAGGCTTTCAGGTATTGAGGGTTTTCAAAAATTTGTTAGTTCATTGTCTCCAATAAAACAATATCGGAAGGAAAATTAATTTACCAATTGTTTCAAAGGAGGTTTCCATCTGCGACAAATACTTCTTCTTTTATACTGCCCCTGTTGTGACTTACTGGCTCAATTTCTTCGCAACTCTGTGGTTTCTGGCGCTGTTCAGTAGTGTCACTATCAAAGGTGAGATGACGTTTATGCTTTCCAAGAAATTTTTTTGTACTTCAGTCAATATTATCAAAAATTTTGCAAGGTGAGTCGTTTTAAAACTTTATTTTTTCTACAGAAAAACGATAACAACTAAAAAATAATTTTAATAATAGAAGAAAAAAATATAGTCGGAACTCATTACTGACAACTGTATTAATTTAAAGGCTACTTTTTTGAGCTCTTTTGGAATACCAACAAGACCAGTCAGTTTCTTTTTTGAATAAAAAACTGAGGAAATTATGGAAGAGAAACCATAAATTAAGTAATTATCAGTGTAACTAATTTTTCTTTTTTATAAAAACATGGCTTCACGAGTCGATTTCTTAGTTCTGGTTTGTTCAAGGAAGTTTATATCAGAGAGATTACAAAGACTTCAGTGACTTTTTAATTATGAAGATTGGGAAAAATGTAGTTGTTCTTACCTTCATCGTTTCGTGTTGTACCATATCTTCATGGATGTTCCTCAACCACACGTCCAATCGTCTAAATACATTGAGGCGTGAGGTCTTTGAATACCCACACTTTGCCTCCAGCCTTCAGAAGTGACTGCATTTCATTTCACTTGTGACGTTTCATTAGGAAAAGTAGCTACTCCTTTAACCGTTTCCACAGTTGGTTCGTCATCTGTTGGACTTGTGTTGAATTTTTGTATGTCAATTGAATGCTGTCTTCGAATAATCCTGGTGGAAGGCTGCAGATTGGTTGCTGAAGGAGAACGTGATTTGGTGTCAGTGCCTCGTTCTTTTTTCTTGATAGTCCGCTACAATTTTTGAAGGTCTTAATTTCAAAATATTTTTGTTTCGGTGATAATTGTCTGAAAGATGTGAGTGTGAGCTTTCGCAATCCAGGAACAATGAGGATTGTTCTCTTGACAATCTGAATCAAGTGTTCCAAGCCCCGAAAAAAAAAGGGTCAAATGAGAGTAAAGAACTATCGAAAGTTTTACCGTTGAAGTTTGAAAACGCAGACTCCATTGTCAACCATTTTACGGCGTCTTTTAATTCTCTGCAGGCTGCAACAATGGTTTTCCCGATGTTTCTGATGAGTGTTTAAAGAGTTAATAGATAATCAATCTAGGAGAAAGCTCGAGTTGCTAGAAAGATAACAAAAGTCTTTTTTTTGGCAAAAATTTTTTGATGTCTGTTCAAGTTTCAGTGTAGAAATAGCCGAACAAAATTTATCCCAGTGTTGGAGAAAGAGAACAGAGATGATATTTTGAGGTATCGCCATGATGGGTTGGAGAATGTCTGCTTGTATGGACGACACAGAATGGATGAGCGATTGATCGAAGAACATGTCGTATCCCAAAATTTTTTTTAACGTTTCTGCACGAACGAGTTCACAAAGTATAGTCTTTGACGCATGCAAATCTGATGCGCGTACTCCAGATTGTGTTTAACAGTTGGATGAGCCCCTGTTAGAGTTATTGTGTGACGTGATTCAGTTTCCATGATGGGAGAAGATTCAATTCTACTGCGAGAACGAAGCATTTTTTGCCGGTCTTGGCATGAGTCGAGTTAAATCAAGTCATTCATCACGCTCTGTTTGCTCCGAACTTTGATTAGCAGAGTTCAGTGCCGTTGATTAATAAGGCCAATTAAAATATTTCTTGCGTAGAGTTTATTTCAGCAATAGGATTTGCCCCAAAACTTTTTGTTTTTTCTACGAGATAATCCAATCAATTACAATAGTCTGTCTGTACATGTTTTTACGTCAGGATCAAAGTTAGGCTGAAAACAGCAAAAATGACCAGTCAAAATTCAACATTTTTTGCTGAATTGATGCTAAATTTTTCTTTACTATGAATTACCAATAAAATTCCTGGTTGATATTCAACTGTTATATTTACGACAGCTGAAGTTTCTATCAAAGAAGTAGAGGTAAACGCATGATTTTGAAACTTATCTCGTGCTGTTAATTGCCATTCGAGAAATGTTCGAAAAAATTGAGATATTTCAGTCTTTCAAAACTGCTTTGAGAAGAGTGAACACTGCTGCTGATATTCCAAAAGATTTAAAAAAAAATTGGGGACACCAGGCTGAAAAGTTTTCGTTGTGTTCATTTGTGGGTATCCTCACTTATCGCGTTTGGAGGCTGCTAGTAGGTGCTCTCTTTAGTCTCATTCCATTTTCGTATTAAATCCGCTTTTTGTATTCTGCTTTTGTTTTGAAAAACAAACTCCACTGCGTTTTTGAGTGTATATGTTGAACGAAAATAGTCGTTCATTTAGGTGTTTTTAAGTGTATTTACCACACGTTTGTAGGTTGTAGTTAGCACAAAATTGAGTTTAAGTTAATCAAAAGATGGGTCTTGAAAACTGGCATTGTCTTATATCTTTTTTGTGGTTCCAGAGAAAACGTAGAGCGGAACGTTTTTTTGTCCGTATGGGTATTTGCATAAACCTTCTTTTTATGTCGGCTACTGTAGCAATGCCAAACCTGCAAAAAACTGAAATGACTCCTCTAAGTTTTGCAGGCAAACTTTGGCGTAATAAAAAATGTGGAATTTAGACATTGACTTTCCAATTTAGAAGTAACCTTATCTTTTCTGTCTAATTAGGTTCTATAAACTCGTGTTGAGGTACACATTCCACAAGTTAAAAAAGATGGATGCACGAAATAGTTTTTCAGGTCCGATACTAACATTTTTTTAATACGCTTTTTGTAAATTGGGGCCTATTGCGAATGTTTTCTGCAGAGATTGCAATTTTTTTTTACAGCTACCCAGTAGGTGTTACTCAGATTTGCGTTTGGTTTCCAGGAAAAAACTAGTTTGTATCGTCTAAAAGCAAATCTTTTTATTCCATCCAAGAGTTGGAGATCAAGTTTGTTGTCGTTACCGTACTTTTGTTGTGTTCAGTGATTCCATTTGGCTCACTTTTTCAAAATTGATGTACCAGATAGTCCAGAAGTTGCTTTGTCATTTGGTTGCGAATAACATGGGAAACAAAATGTCGATGACCTATTATGGATGAAAGTCACAGATGCCTATTTTTGTGCAGTTGGTATTCGTCGATTACATTCCATCCAGAGTTTGTCTTTATAACTGGTATAGTTCTTTCTTCTCAAAAATTTGTAGAAGATAGAAAACAAGAATGAGTTTACACCAAGCAGAAATCCATCTTTCCATGCTGGAGATGGCAAAATGATTATGCCAAAATGTGTCGGAGGAGCTGCAAATCTGGTTAATCTTGAGATGTCAGATGTCATTGTGTTAAGACAAGGTGTTTTCTACAAAAGATCCAACTGGAACTTTTATTTGGCTGATTCAAGCGGTGAGACATGACCGGGTTATCCACTTTTACAAGTGGCAGTTTATGATCAGTTTTGCTAAATCTAAGAGACAATGATGTGTGTTTTATTGATAGAAGTTGTAGTTTATCGTCTATTTCATCAATGATGAAGTCTCTTCGCTTCTGTTGTCATCTAACGCGTTAGTAGTTGTAATCCATCCAGCATGGCAGAAGGAGACCGGCATAAGTTTTTTTGCTTAAACCATTCAATTTATTCCAAACAAAAACTCGAAAAATCAGATTCCATAATTACTCCCTGATTTTCTGCGTATTCAGTGTCTTTGTTTTGTTGCAACGAGGTCAGGTCTCTGTTTCTTGTAGCTTATATTGCAAATTGTTCAATTGGTAGGCGCCTTATCGGTTTAGCTCCGGTTGGTTTGGAATCCTTCTATCTTTAGCTTTGTGTTCTTTGCATTTTTGATTCAATTCATCAGACAGCATACTAAAGCTTTGGGTTTCCTTTGGGCTTGTTTGTTACCATAGTTGCAAGCCTAAGCCTTTCTTGACTGTTTGGCTGCACTTTTTGCTACGGTTGTTTGAGACACATTTGTTTCTGATGTGATACAAGCTGAGGCATTTGACACACCGTTTAAGTTTTTTTACACTCTTGTAGAGTTGTAGTGGCGTAGAAGACGTGTATTGTGGGCACTGCATGATTTTATGTTCGTTATTACAAGAGGGGCACTGCTTTCATTGTTCGAAAAAGTCCAGTACACTCAGTCTTTTAAATATAGTTTTGAAAGCCTCTGGATAGCTTGAATAATTTGCTGAGGGTTTGAGGCGGTATGACATTGCTGCCAAATTTGACATTTCTGCACTATTGAAGGATGAAATGCGGTTGTGGAGCGTGTCGTACGTTTTCGCATGAACTTTTTTCAATTTTGTATTGTTGAACATCTGTTTCCTGTATGTCGTTCGTTTCGACCCGGGTATTCACTGAGTTTAAAAGGCAAAATCGTCGTGATTCTGCTTGTGACAAGCTTCGTCAAAAAAGAAAAATTTACTTCAGTTATGAAATTGGAAGTTCTGAAAGTTTGCGTCATTTTTGTTAGGAGCACAGCAAAGAAACGAAACAATTTATATTTTTGTATCGTTGAGTGTTCCGATGCTATCAACAGTTGGATTGGACGAATTCATCTAATCATGGAAGTTCTGCGAATTACGAGCAAATGAAAGAAATTGAAATCTTGATAACTTTACTGTAGTTCTGAAGTCAAATTTACATATGTTATTTTGACCACTGTCGAAAATGGTGGTAGGATGCTGCGGACTGCTAGTTTGCCATGTGAAATCTGGCATGCTCGCTTTGAGCGATGTACTTTGAATCAAAGTTGACTGGAGAAAAGATTTTGTAGATTGGTGAGGATTGCTTATATCTCTGTATTTATGATAGAAATGCTGTAGTCCAACCAAGTTATAAAACTGTTGACCTGGTGTTGGTTATTGACTGTCGATGTCTGCTGAATGTTGATCGGACACAAGGATGAAATTGAAATTTGAGAACCCAAAGTATCTCTTGTAATTTTTTTGACTGTGGGAAAGTGAATGCTTCCGGTACCAATGAACAAACCGGAAAAGTTTGAGGCATTGATTGCCTTGCGTCTATTTGATTGACCTAGTTTGTAAAATATATTGATACTGAAATGTCGAGGTTGTTTGCGTCGGTGGATAAAAAAATCTT